CTACTACTACTACTACTACTACTACTTGAACTACTACTACTACTTTAACTACTATTACTACTACTACTATTACTACTACTACTACTACTACTACTACTCACTACTACTAGTACTAGTACTAGTACTAGTACCTAGTAAACTAATAACTAGTTACTAGTACTGTACTAGTACTAATACTAGTGCTACTACTACTACTACTACTACTAACTACTAAACTTTAACTACTACCTAACTAACTACTACACTACTACTACTACTAGACTCACTACTACTATACTTAAACTACTCCTACGACTACTACTACTACTACGACGACGACGACGACGACGACTACTACTACTACTACGACTACTACTACTACGACTACGACTACGACTACGACTATTACTACCACTACTACTACTACTACTACTACCACTACTACTACTACTACTACTACTACTACTACTACTATTACTATTATCACTGCTTCTACTGCTATGGGTACCACTGTCACTACTACAACTACGACGACAACTACTACCACTACCACTACTACCCGTACTCGTATTACTACTACTACTACTACTACTACTACGACTACGACTACTACTACTACTACTACTGCTACTACAACTACTACGGTTACTACTACGTCTACTACGACTAGTACGCCAACGGCGGCTACTACGACGACGACAACGACCACCACTACTACTACTACTACGACTACTTCTTCTTCGGCTACTACTACTACTACTACTACTACTACTCCTACTACTACTACTACTACTACTACTACTACTACTACTACTACTACTACTACGACTACTGCTGCTACTACTACTACGACTACGACTACGACTGCGATTCCTACTACTACTACTACTACTACTACTACTTCTTCTACTACTACTACTACTACTACAACTACTACTACTGTTACTACTACTACTAATACTACTTCGACGACGGCTACGCCTATCACTGCGGCTCCTACTACTACTACTACCACTAATAATACGACAACTACTACGACTACTATTGCTACTACGACTACTACTACTACTACTGCTACTACGACTACTACTACTACTAGTACTACTACTACTACTACTACTACTACTACTACTACTGATACGAATTCCCACTACTACTACTACTACTACTACCACTACTACTACTACTACTACTACGACTACTACGACTACGACTACGACTACGACTACTACTACTACTACTACTACTACTACTACTACTACTACTACTACTACTACTACTACTACTACTACTACTACTACTATTTCTACCACGACTATCACTACCACTACTACCACTACTACGCCTACTCCTACTACTACTAGTTAAGTGAGATACGCGCGCACTCAACGGAGAGGAGAAGGAGGACGAGGACAGGAGGCAAGGAGCGCGGACAAGGACGAGGAGATGTTTTCCTCGGCAGCGCGGCAACGCGTGCGCCCGACGCGCGCGCGCACCGTGGTGCGCGCGCGCGCGTTCTGGCACGCCTGCGGCCGCTCGGCCCGAACCGAGCGGCGCAAGGTGCAGGGGGCGAAGCGGGGTGGGTGGGCACCCGCGCGTCGGCGCTCGGGCCGACCGCTACGGACCCAAAATGGCTACACGAAGCCCCCCCCCCCCCCACTTAACCTGCAGTTTACAAACCAATCAGACTATACAAAGTAAGTGAGATACGCGTGCACTCAACGGAGAGGAGAAGGAGGACGAGGACTGGAGGCAAGGAGCGCGGACAAGGACGAGGCGAAATGTTTTCCTCGGCAGCGCGGCAACGCGTACATCCACGCGGGCGCCGGGGCACCAACGGCCCGCGCCCGACGCGTGCGCGCGCGCACAGTGGTGCGCGCGCACGCGTTCTGGCACGCCTGCGGCCGCTCGGCCAGGAGAGAGCGCAGCTGCGCGCGCGGGCGCGCCCCATGCGCACGTGGGCCCGAGTACTGAGCCCGGCGGCCCCCGGAACACCGCGCGCGCGGCCACTAGCCTGCAACCTCGAAGCCTTCCGCGCCTCGCGCACCCAAGCGCGAGCGCGGCGCGTGCGCGCGAGCGCGCAGCGGAGAAACAAAAAAAGAGGAGCGGCGCGGCGGCGCACCGGGCGCGCCGCGCCCCAGAGGGGCCCCGCCCGCGCGCGAAGGCGCAGGGAAAAGGGGGCCGCGCGGCATCGCGACGTGCGCGCCACGCACCAAACTCGGCCGGCCCAGGCGAGGTGGGGCTGCCCGCTTCGACAGCGACCCGCCCGCCCGATGCCCGCGGCCCGCGAGAACGCGGGCGCTGGCCTGGGGGACCGCGCCTAAATGGAGGGCTCCCTCGGCGCGTCACCCTGGCGGTCCCGGCCTCCGCGGCCGTCGCCCCGCCCGCGATGGCTCGCGCTGTCCGGGGCGCGACTGCCCTCGCCGCCCCCGCGGCTCCCGTCGCGGCCGCTGCGGCTGCCGCGGCTGCCGCCGTCGCCACCTCGCTCGCGGCGACCCGCGCTGCCCGAAGCGCGGCCACC